TCTCCACTGGTCTGTTCTCTTACAGCTGTGCTGCTCAAGGCAAGGTTCATAGACCAGCAGCATCAGCATCACTTGGGAACTTTTTAGAAATGTAGAATCTGCTACTCCTGTTGACCTACTGAATCAAAGTCTGCTTTTTAATATGATCACTAAATGATTTGTATGCACAGTAAATCTTGAGAAGCACTGCTCCCATGGCTGTGGTTCTCAAATTTTAACAAGCACAATCTCCAGAAGGGCTTGTTAAAAATAAACTGCCCAGGGTTTCTGATTCACTAGGTCTGGAATAAGGGCCAAGAATTTGCATTTGTTAACACCCTCATCACCACTTAAGCTTTTACTACAGACTCTGACTTTGATCACATTTTGTTTGTGGTTATCTGTTTCAGGTTTTTTTTAAATTTATTTTTTAATTATAGTTGATGTACAATGTTACATTACTTTCAGGAGTACAATATAGTGATTAGACATATTATATCTTACAAAGTGATTACCCTGATAATGAGAGAGAGAGAGAGAGAGAGATTTGTTGTTCCACCCATTTATGCTTGGTTGGTTGCTTCTTGCATGTGCCCTGACTGGAGATCAAACCTGCAACCTTGGTGTATCCGGGATGTTGCTCTAACCAACTGAGCTACCCGTCCAGGGCGTGTGACTATTTCTATAACTGGCAATTTGTACTTCTTAATCCTTTCGTCTTCAGACTTGTTTTTAATCTTCCTGGTAAGACTGTAATTTCTTGTTTGGTGTTTCTTTTGGGGGGCAGCTTTATTGAGATATAATTCACATACCATGCAGTTCTCCCATTTAAAGTGTACAATTCAATGGCTTTTAGTATACTCACAGATATGTGCAATCATTGCCATAGTCAATTTTAAAACATTCACATCACCTCAAAAAAAAACCAAAAAGGTGGAACACACAGTGGAATTTTAGGGTAGTGAAACTATTCCGTATTTTGTATGCTAGAATAATGATGGATTCATGTCATTATACATTTGTCAAAACCTATAGAATGTACAACACAAGAATGAGCTCTAATGTAAACTGTGGACTTTGGTAATGATATGTCAATGTAGGTTTATTGATTGTGACAAATGTCCTGCTCTGGTGCACATGTTGATAATGGGAGAGGCTATGCGTGTGTATGGTAAGGGGGTATTTGGAAATTCTGTACTTCCTGCTCAGTTTTGCTATAACCCTAAAGCTCATCTTAAAAATAAAGTAAATTTTTTAAAGAAGAAAGAGACCCCATACCCTTTAGCTATCACCTCCAGCCCCATATCCCATGAAACCTAAGCAACCACTAATTACCTTGTGTTTCTTCTATGTGGTACAAGTACTTAGCAAGGTGCTAGTTATATTATTAATAATAGTTACCATTTACTAAGAGCTTAATGTGTGCAATTACATTATCTAACTTAATCTTCATGACAACTCTATGAGGTTGACATTTATTGTCATCTCAAAACCAAGGACATTGAATCTTAAAAAAGGTTAAATGATTTGTAATGTAGCCAGTAAATGGTGAACTCCCATTCTATCCCAGGTCTTTCATTCCAAAACTCATAACATATATTGTTAATAAACTAAATTTTTGAAGCTATACAATCTCTATGAGAAATTTTACTAAGATATTTTAAAATATAGTAGAAATGGTTAAGTTGTTTTGTTAGCTTGCTTATGAAATTTGCTGCATGTTCCATATTTAACCTAACTAGTCTATAAAATATGTATGGTTATACTTTCTTCTTTTATAATCTTCCTTTAAAATTTGTGTTTTGCCTTTGTAATTCTCTTATCAATGAGTATTACTTTTATTTTGTCAATATTGAATTTTCTACTGTCATAGGAAATATGGTAATCACTTTACAACAATGAATCTTATATTTGGACATCTTACTTCCATGGACACTTAAAATATTTTCAGTCTCTTAGTTTTTGTAATTATAGAAGTAACACTGAATATTATACCGTTGTATGAAAGTACATAGTATTTCTTTATCAGTATGAAAAATCTAATTTATAAAATTTAAATTTTAGAAAAGCTGCAGAGCACTGTATGATCTCATGTGTGTAAAACAAATGATATATATTTCATACATATCCTAAATATTTATAGATAGTATCTGGAAAGGTATAAAAGAGACCCCCTAAAAGTATAACTGTGAGACCCAGGATAAGTAGGGAGGAACCATATAGCTTTCTGTTCTGTTTGAATATTTTTTCCTTTAAGTTTCTCTTTCCTGTCTTTTCACACTCTCACATTTGCCTTTGTCCTTGTTTTTTGTTTTGTTTTGTTTTTTTTTAATAGTCTGGTGTGTCTCCACATCCTTCTTCAAGGTCATGTAAATGTAGAAATATATATAAGGAGCTTTTGGGGCCAGTTATTACTTGTATGTATGTATGTATAATCCTCACCTGAGGATATGTTTATTGAAAGGAAAGGGGAGAAAGAAGGAGAGAGAGACAGAGAATGAGAATTGATCAGTTGCCTCCTGTATATGCGCTGACTGGGAATCAAACCCGGTGCCTGTTGGTGTACCAGACAACGCTCCAACCAACTGAGCCACCTGGCCAAGGCTGCTGGCACTACTTTTATAAAAGTGGGATTACACTATAAATATCTCCCTGGAACTTGCTTTTCTCACTATGGACATCTGTTTCTACAGATAGATGTAGTTGTTTCTTTTTAATAGCGGTGTACTATGCATACCATAATGTAATGGGCTCCTTATTGATGGAATTGATTTTTCCTTTTTTTTGCTATAACAAATAATACTGCCGTGAATATCCTTACACATTTATCTTTGTGCACTTGTGTATACATCTGTAGGATATGAATCAAGGGTTCTATGTATTAAAATTTTTGAATTGTCTGTTGTAAAGGTTATACCACTTCAACAGCAGTCTGCACTATAACTTAAATCCTCATCCAAATGTTATTCCTCTCCAAAAGGAGCTTAGTAGAATGGCTTGTTCCAGATCTGTGGCGGATAAAGGATAAAGTCAGCCTAGGACATCTTGTGCCAAAAAACACAGAGAAGTCCTCAAAGACTAATGGGGCTCTGGCAAAAGGACACAAAGAGCCAGCTGGAAGAGTTTCTACTGGCCAAAGTTAGGACAATTTGGAAATCAAATGCATAATTGTAATTACACTACATTGGATTTTTAAAAATGAATGAGTCTTTGTGATACTAAAGAAAAGGTGGTAGAGGGAGAAATACTAGCTAATAAATGGTAGAAGGAATGACAGTATTAAAAAACATTTACCATTTTGCAACCCCTATGTGGTATGTAAAATAAAATTCAGGCATAGATCCTCATGAAAGCTAAAACGGTAGGTGAGAGATTGTTGAACTGTTCATATGGTGCAACAGATGACTTAACATTCACAAAGGGGGAAAGTATGTAACTTTACACTAGAGAATCCTGCCGTTACTATGTGACTAGATGATCAAACTCGAGATCACTAATAGGGGGCCATCCTGACATCATGTGCTATCTTATTGGATGTAATAAGAAGTTCCCAATTCATTTACGGAGTATTCTTTTCAAACATGTTTAATCTAAACCTAATCAGCCCTCGTCATAACCCACAGGATTACCCTCTGTAGTTAGAATTGTGGATGAGTCTACTGTGTGGCCTTAGGTAGGCTATATTAGTAATTTCTCTGAGTCTCAGAGCCCTCATTTGTGAAATTGATACTGAATCAGACAAATGCATAAAAATAACCTAAATATACTTTGTTTAATTTGTATAGTCTGTTCATACCTAAAAACAATTTAGTGTGCGGTAAGAATTTAACATATTGATTCATCTCTGCTGTCAGAATCCATTCATGGTCACCAAGTATGTACCTGAATGAAAACTGCTGCTCTTTCTTTCACAAATAATATCTTTATCTAATTATTCTGTGTAATTTGATGGCATTTTAAAAGAATTCCCTACTGTTGTTTAGGTCTATAAGCTAACGAAGCTCCTGCTATGCCAAAAAAGCCTTCTAAATCCCACCTGTTCAAGGGAGTTTTTAGATAGGAGAGCATGAATTAGAGCATTTTTGTACGGATTAAAAATTTAGATTGTCTTATCTGGAATTACCAATTTTATAGAGGAAAATGGTCAAATATCAGCAATTTGATGTGGCTCAACCTAATCCCTACTTTAGTGGTGAAGGCTTAGTCCATCTTCTTTTGCCAAGCAGTCTGTTTTCTGTCTTTTGTTTTAGAGAAAGATTTGCTCGGAGGAGGCAGGAGGAAGGATTTGGATTGATCCAGGTTTGAAGGGAATCACGACGTGGAATAGTATTCTACGTAATTATCTTAGGATGTTTCATCATTTCGCTCTCTCCACTGCCAGCTCCATGTACAGTAGTTGCTCTTTTCAGCCTTTTCTTACCTCTTGTCTCCCTTTTTTCCCAGGTACTAGGCAATGAGGGCAAAGGAAAGAACACTCTTTTAGCTCTTCTTTTTCCTCACTTTAAACTCGGGATTAGTCTTTTAGAATAGGCAGATAGAGAATCTTCAAGACTTGCCAGTTCTCTGATTCTTTTCCAAAGAGAGCGCTTGGAAATAATAATGTACTTTTTTTAAAAACCCTAGTTATTCATAGAATACAGAAGGTACAACAGGTTAAGGGATTTCAAGTGTCTCTTCTTTTATAGAACATAAGCAATGAAGTAACAGCTCCTAAGGCACTGGGAAGGAAAGGTCCAGCCTGTGAAGGGAGTACTGACATTATCATACTGCAGCAAGAATCCTCCCTGGGGTATGGCTCTCAGTACAGTGGCCGTAACTGTATCTCTGTAAGAAAGGGACCTCCTCAAAAAATGTGTTCTAAGCAAATGTGTCTAGTTTCAGTATTTGCTCAAACAAGGAAAACTAAATTCATTGGAAGACCTTCCCCCTGTTCAAACCTGTCTATCGATAGCTTTATGAAAGTCCTTCGTTGTTGGCAGGCCAAGCTGTCGCCAATGTAAAAATTATCGTTTGTGCCCTAGACAGCTGCTCAGGAAGCGATCCTGCATGCGTCTGGAAATGGCACCCCCCCACCGTCCAAGGACTGCTGCGTGCTCTATAACCCTCGCTGGACAGCCCTTCCAAGGACCCTAGAAAATGCAGTAAGTACTGTGAACCGCAGTTGCTGTTTATTTATAAGCATAATAATATATTGAAAGGTGACAGGGAGTGTACATTATGTTTCAGTGTATGACCTAGTTGTAATACATGATTAATAAATAATAATTCTTTCGTTGTTTTAGCTTAAGTGTTTTTCTCTCTCAGAAAACAATTTAGGGAATTTTAAAATACCTCAAAGCCTGATCATCATGAAGTATTTTTAATTTAAAAGAACATTGTATTAAAATCAGTAGGTAACTTTATCATTAAATGCATTTAGGGTGAAATATATTTATCATGTTAAAGACATTTCTTCTTTTCAGACTTCCATTAGTTTGATGAACCTGACTTCCACACCACTGTGCAACATTTCTGATATCCCTCCTGATGGAATAAAGAACAAAGCTGTTGTGGTTCAGTGGGGAACCTGCCATTTTCTTGAAAAAGCCAGAATTGCACAAACAGGAGGTGCTAAAGCATTGTTGGTTGCCAATAATAGTGTCCTAGTAAGTTATAAAACTAGAATAACTTCTTTTGAACTCATGATATCAAATTCCACAGATTGAACTGTATCTTCTTTGTGTGTGGTTTAGTGGCTGAGTTTTGAATAATTTCATTGGTAGGATCTCTTTTTAAGTAAACATTCTGGTTATGATAGGCATTTAAAAGGAGAATTTTGTTGTTTCTTTTCTATTCCTAAAGTAAAGAAGACTTTGTTAAGAACAAATATATGCGTGTGTTTATGCATGTGTGTGTGTGTTACATGTATATGATATACATTTATGTAAAAATTGGAGAACTCTACCTCTAATACTAAGAACACATGAAACTTTGTTTTATAATTTTAAAAGGATGTAATATTAGATTTAATGGAATAATTTGGATTTTATTCTGTAAATATATAAGTAGTTCATATGTTTTCATAATATGTTTTTTTTCTTTTAGTTTCCTCCCTCAGGGAACAAATCTGAATTTCATGATGTGAAAGTACTGATTGCATTTATAAACCACAAAGACTTTAAAGATATGACGCAGGTAAATTAGTAATTACATATTAGATAAAGTTCATAAATAGTATATAACTCTTTACTTTTAACTACTGGTATTTAATTTAAATTATTGTACACGCTCTACTGGTTAACGAAGCTCTAAAGGCTATCAAGTCTTTACTTGGGAAGTATTCCTCTCCCATTTAGCACAAGGCATTTCAAAGCCCTGGCTTGGGGGGGGAGGCAGAGACAAATGTATTTAAAAAGTAAATAAATTTTAAAAAATAAATAAATATTAAAGTCAAACATATGCTGAGAGGGGGAAAAAAAAAAAAAAAGCCCTGACTTTAGAAAGGCTATTTATCTGTTTTGACTTCTTTAAAAATTTCTGACTGTGTGGAGTACTGCACTTTCAAGATTTAATAAACCAAAGTATAGTCTCATAATTTTGACAGGAGAATATGTCATGTTGTCAAAACTACTTCTGGTATTCTTGACTGTCTGATGTATTGTGTCCATTCCAGACCGAAATTGGAGTATTGCTGCCATACACTATAGTGGAAAGAAAACTAATTCCAGTGTTTTAAGTCTCATTTTTTGCCTTTCAGACTCTTGGAAGTAACATTACGGTGCAAATGTATTCTCCTCCATCATGGCCTAACTTTGACTATACTATGGTGGTTATTTTTGCGATTGCTGTGTTCACTGTGGCATTAGGAGGATACTGGAGTGGACTAATTGAACTGTAAGTTTAATTTAAATGCAGTGTTTTTGTGATAAATGGTTAAAAATTATTGTTTGAAATCATTTTCATCGTGCAACAATATTTAAAATTCTACCTGACCTGAGAATGTAGTGGCATTAGGATCAGATTGCAGTTTGTCCTCATACAGGTCATTTAACTTCGCACTGGGAAGGGAGCCATTGACTGGAAGGAAATAAGCAAGGGTAGGTGAGGAGTTTTGCAGCTCCTTCTGGGTTGAGTCATTACAGTATGACCTCATCTTTCAGTTCAGTGCTTTAGGAATTCTGCGTATAGTAAGCATGCTTATATTTTAATTGAAATTGTAGAAATTGTGAACGTATATAAAATTTGGATTTCCCTTCTTAATAAAAACCTAAACCCAATCTTCTTGCAGTTGTGTGCCTTTGGCTCTAGATTAAAGCAGGCCATGTAGTAGAGAAGGATCAGTTTATAATTCTGAATTTAAAAAATGTGCACAGAGCATATCATTTCATTCATAGAGGGCAATATATTTACCTTGTGAATTGATCTCTAGATTTCATTAAAAAGGGCTTATTTGCAAGTAAATGAAGCTAATAAGCTTATTTTTAATTTCTTAAAATACTAAAATTTGATTGACTTACATCAAGAGAGAAATCTTAGGGTTTAACAAGGGTAGATTCCTGGAGTATTAAGCTTTAAATATTTTACATATTTGGAAAACATATTTCGACATATCAGTCACATGTTTTCATGTAAGCATTGTTTTTTCTTCATTAATATTCTTTGTAAAACATAGTATATAAGAAGATCTTCAGTTGTTTTCTAGATTATTTGTTGAAACTTCATAAATAATTTCCCAAAAGCTACTGATTCATTAAAAATCTTTTCCCATTTAAATAGATTCACCCTATACTACCATTACTATCTAAATTGTATCTTAAGAGTAGTTCTTCTCAAACTGTGATGTGCTTATGAATTGTCTTGAGATCTCATTAAAACGTAAGTTCAGATTTAGGGGGCTTGGGGCGGGGACCAAGATTCTGCATTTCTAAAAGCTCCCGAGTGATTTTGCTAGCCGATGGACCACACTTTGAGATAGCAAGACAAACTTTATATACGTGTCAGGGCAGGCTCCTCCTCAGGAAAACTGGAGATGCGGGAGGAGTACCTATAAGTTATTTTATTCATAAAAAGTCATGATAGACAGAGATGAAGAATTTGTTGCCTTCAATAGCTAGGCTGGGAGAGATGTCCTTTATCTCTAAGACTGTGAATTTTAAAATTGAGGTGGCAGAGTCTAACAGGAAGATAAAGGTAGAAGGAAGTGTATGTGTGTTTGGAGTAGGGGGGTGACAATATAAAGAGAATATGAATCAGTGATAAAAGGAAGAAATTTTCATGAAAAGTAGAATTATTAAGAACATAAGGATCATCATTTCATAAATAAAGAGTAAGAGTGAAAGAGAAGAGGAAAGAGAATAAGGCTTAGGGAAGGGAAATTTTGCCAGAACAGGACCCCATAACCCAGAATTACCCTGCCAAATGCAAGGTGCACCTTATGTAAAAGGGAAAGATGACTTGGTTTCGTATAAAGACTTTTCAGTAGAGACTTCCAAGTCTTATAATGAGATCACTGGTCCTCAAGCTTTATAAACTCAAGATGACATAGAAGAAAGCTTAACTTCCCTGCTATTGCATGTGGCTCTTGAGCAGTTTAAGAGTATAAAAAAAAAGTATTTTAATGTGATATAAATCTAGTATATGCTTTCTCTTCAAGAAATTGCCTGGTACTTTCTATTACACAGAACACGAATATATAAATCTTTCATTATTATGGCTTACATGTGTACTCTGATAAAAATGTCTTTAAATGTATGTTTGTAATGACAGATACCATAGGTTGGCACATTTACCCACTTGGATATCACTTTTATTAAAATTTATATTAACAACCTTGTAGCTCTGTAGTTTTCAAGGAGGTGCTGGTGTGTCTTTCCCAAAACTCTCTCCCTTCTCTAGTCTCAGGTGGCCTTCCTAAAGTCACAGGTGCTTATAATAAGCAGGTAAATAAGCAGTTTGGCAAATGTGTAATTTGATAGAAATAAACTTTTTTTTTAACCTAAAGTTTGTATTGAGCCGAGACCTGGTGAGAAGGGTCAGGGAGCGCACACAGGGAACAGAGTTTCGTAGACCCAAGTTGATGGCATTGGAGCTGGAAAAGTATGTAGTGGCTTCCATATAACCGGGAGGAGACGGTAGGTGACAGAACAGAGACTGCTCAAGCAGGGACACGTGTGGCTCATTCCTCTTCAACTTCAGTCTCTCCCTTTTATTAACCATGTGACCTAGCAAGGATTATTGGAGGAGTTAGAAACAGTGTTTTGCTCTTAAATTAAGGTAGGACAAAGCTATGTCTTGAAATTCCTGTGAGTTCATAATACATTGATAAGCATATGGTGAACACTGAGTTGATGGAAAGGAGAACTTCGTGTTTCCATTTAAAAGAAGCTAACTTTAGAAATACTGTGTGTAAATTGATAATATTAAGAGTGTAAGAAGAATTAGTTATCGTTTATTCCATCTATATAGTTTCCGAATCAGATAATATAAACATCCACAAACAATTAATTAATTAATTTCTATATGTCATCTATTTCAACAATTTTGCCTCCAGGAAAGAAGGCTGTTTCAACAGATAATGGTTAATAACATTATCTCTGGAGGGTAGAATAATGGAGAGTTTTTACTTCTGGATTAAATATTTCTTTTTGGTGTGCATTTGTAAAAGTGTTTTACTTTATAATCAATAACAAATTTAAGTTGGTATTAAAAATTGATTTTAAAAATAATTGTACTTGGAAGAGATTTGCTGAAGTTCCTGTGTATGTTTATTTAGAGAACACATGAAAGCAATGACAGATGCTGAAGATAGTGAAATGAGGAGAAAGAAGGAAGATTATTTAACTTTTAGTCCTCTAACAGTTGTAATATTTGTGGTCATATGCTGTGTTATGATGGTCCTACTTTATTTCTTCTACAAATGGTTGGGTAAGAAGTCTTTTTTTATATTTGCTATTTTTAGTACAGCCTTTCATTTACTTTGCCAGATTTCTTTTTCCTTAAGGCATTCTACCTGGAAAACTTAAGTGAATAATTAAAAAGTGATTAACTTTTAAATTGTTAGAAGTATTAGGTCCCCATTACTCTGAAATAAAAAAAATATTCAAATTAAAAATATACTATCTTAAACCCTGGCCACGTGGTTCAATTGATTATAGCATCATCCTGACCACCAAAAGTTTGTGGGTTTTATTCTTGGTCAAGGCACATACCTACCTAGGTTGTGGGATTGATTTCTGGTTTTGGGGCGTGTGCACGAGGCAGCTGATGATGTTTCTCTCTCACATCAATGTTTCTCTCTTTCTCTCTCTCAAATCAATAAGCATACCTATTTCAAGTGAGGATTAAAATAAATAAACAAATAAATGTATAAATATATAGTCTTGAGATAAGAACACTTCTTCATGGATGACTTGAAAGAATTATTATTGTTCCTAAATTTCCCTCTCTGCAGATAAAACATGAAATCCTCATGTCTAAAGATCAGGCTAAGGACTTCTTGGGGACTATATTTAGTTACATGAAATAAAAGGCTATTCAAATTACTGATTTATTGCCTTTGCTTACCCCCAAAGTGTAGTTTATTCTTTTGTCAGTTTGCAAATCAAGATGTTGTGTTACTTGAATTTTGTTTCATTTGTATAAACAATTAGGATCACATTATCAGTACATCTAAAGACAAACAGGTACATGCCTGTGGTCTAGAGAATAACTGATACTTTCTCCTTCAAGTAGATAGGGGTAGGAACTGTAATGGCTTGTCCATCCCCTGGACAGTCTTCTGAACTGTCTGATAGGATGGACATCTGCCATCCCTGGCCAGTATACAGCACAAAGAGGAGGTGATAAGACCAGGAAAAAGGGAAGTATACCTGATGAGAACTAGCAAAAGCCCTTTGAAAAACTACCAAAGGCTACAACGCTTACTTGGGGAACTTTAGCATAATTTTCCGGACTAGAAAACAGAGGTCCTAAGGTTAATTTCAGCTTATTCAATTTCTCCTGTCTGGTGGCAGCAATTTAAAAATATGACCGTTGACATATATTTACAGTTAGAAAAAAATCACTCTGAATATCACTCATATTCCAATCTGTTGCTGGGAAGTGAGTTCTAGGGTGTTATTTGTATTATGTTGTCACTGAGTGGCTAATTTTTCTGTTTCACTAGGCTTTGATTGTTTTTGTCTGACCTTCAGTCAATATATTAGTGGCCCTTTAGAGAAAAAAAGAGATTCTTGTACCCTGTCTGAAAGCATGTTTTAATTTTTGGTGTGATATTTCCTTAAACTGATAGCTATTTTAAAAGTTGACCTTGCTTATAAATGTAATTTTTGATGTAGGAGAAAAACGATTAAACCTCAAGGTTATCCCAGGATATAGGATTTAATTATAACTGTTGAGAATATCTTTTTATTTATTTATTCAATTATTCATTCATTCATTTATTGATTGATTGATACAGGGGGAGAGAAACTGCGATTTGTTGTTCCATTTATTTATGCATTCGTTGGTTGCTTCTTGTACATGCCCTGGCCGAAGCTTGAATCTGCAACCTTGGCATATGGGATGATGCTCTAACCAACTGAGCTACCTGGCCAGGGCCGTAACTCTGAGAATATCATATGTGATATTGCAAGATTTACTTCACTTCCAAATGGTATCTTACAGCTAAATATGCTGCCTTTTCTTAATATAATAAATAATGTGACTACTAAATTGCTAAGATTCTGCTTACCATTTTATGAGTGTCATGCTCAAGGAAGTAACTAAAGACAGTTATATTAACCATATTCTTTCCCATACCCAATCATCTTCTTAACTGTAGTATGATACTAAATGAGATAACATGAAATCTGTTAGCGCCTCAAGAGCCTGATTTATACCAATGTTTTAAAACTTGGGTTGGAGACCTTTGGTGGATGACTTACTAAACTTAACTTGGCAGTCTTTGACTCTCTATCTTACTAGTCATATTAGCATATGTAACCAGTAATTAAAATAATATCAGCCCTGACTCAGTTGGTTAGGCATTGTTCTGCAAAGCCAAAGGTTGCTGGTTCAATTCCCAGTCAGGGCACATGCCTGGGTTATGAGTTCGGTCCCTGGTTGGGGTGCGTGTGAGAGGCACCCGATCAATGTTTCTCGCACATCAATATTTCTCTCCCTCTCTTCCTCCCTTCCCTTCTCTCTAAAAATAAATAAAGTTAAAAATATTTTTTTTAAAAAACATCAAATAACAGTTTTAGATACAGGATAGTATATGCCAGATACTATTCTGAGCATTTTATATGTATTCAATATTTACTTATCTAAGTTCTCAATAACCTTGACATTGGTGTTATTACATTTCACATTTTGAAGATGAGACTCAAGGGAGTGAAGAAGTAATTTGTCCAAGGTCACCAATTATAAAGTGGCAGTGGGTTGCTTTCTCTGGGTTACTTTCTGATTTGCTGTCTCTAGAATACTTTTTCTTTCAAAGAAAATTTATAGTTTTCTGGAATTCAGTGGAATTTGAAAAATTCAGGTAAAATTTCTGTTTTCATTGTGAAGTTTTGGTAAAGTTCAGGAAAATGAATATTTTAATTTTATTTTAGAATACAATAATCTCTCCCATTTTAACAATAAAGAGTTCAAGTGTTTTTAATATTAAATAATATTCAAATAAGTATAGGTACTATAGAAAAACACTTCTCAGTTTTAACTGCCTTAGTATTGTATCATAACAAAGGTTTGTTTAAATGGATCTGGATTTACTGTAGGTCAAGTTATAGATAAATTCTACCTTTAGAAAACATAGATAGCATGGCTAATGTCTAAGGTGTCAGTTCTCATCCCTAAGCTGCATTTGAAAAAGTGTTTATAATGATTTATTAATTCTTCCACTTGGTACATTAAAATTAAATACTCATAAAAGCCTGCAGCTCACTTCATAGAAATCTTTAACAAACATGTGAGTTTGAATCATTGAGTGATAGTAAATGTAGAGCCAGCTTCAGGCCCTTAAGCAGCCTACCAATGTATAATGGAAGTAAAACAACACAAAATACTCTTAAAACTCAAGATCTAAATATTTTCAGTTTACTAACCAATTCAGGTTATAATATAGTCAGTGAATTGAAAGTATCATGATCCAGTGAGAAAGCTAGAGAATTAATATTGCTTATGTAAATATTTTCTTGTTATATTTTTTTCTGTTCTCATATAATTTATTTTCCTTTTTTTTTCTAGTTTATGTTATGATAGCAATTTTCTGCATAGCATCAGCAATGAGCCTATACAACTGTCTTGCTGCACTAATTCATAAAATACCATATGGACAATGCAAGTATGTATCTCTTATGAGGAATCCCTGTAATATTAATATTTGCAATTTAAAACAACACAAGAAAAAAAACAGGAGTCTTATTTTAAACCTGTGCGGTTCATTATATGTGTGACTCCATGTAACTACATGTGACTAAATGTAATTTAATTTACATTTAAATTAAATTAAAACTCAGTTCCTCAGATTCATGAGCCACATTCCAAGTGGTAAATAGCCACATGTAGGTAGTGCCTCCTGTACAGAACAGCACCAGTGTGGAACATTGCTAGCATCACAGAAAGTTCTGTTGAACTGATAAACATTTTATTAATTTATTTTATGATGTTCCACTTAAAATCAAGACTTTTAAATTGGTATTTCAGTAGTTTTGTTGTTACTGTGGTTAACATTTATTAGCTTTCCTCATATTAAGTGAATATTTTATTTCATCTGGAGGAGTAAACTCTTTCATCCTGTCTTCCTGTGTGTTTTTCTAGAATTGTGTGTCGTGACAAGAGCATTGAAGTGAGACTTATTTTTCTCTCTGCACTGTGCATAGCAATAGCTGCTGTTTGGGCCGTGTTTAGAAATGAAGACAGGTATAAGTACTTGATGTATTTGCTTTTAGATTATGGATGGATTATTTTATGTCTTGCCCTGATAGTTATTCCTTATGATTATTATGGAAATTTTTTGCTTGTATCCTAGGATACCACCATCTTTAAAAAAGTTACTTGTTAAATAAGCAGATCTTGTGCTAATGGATCTGAGGTCATATAGAGGAGGAAATGTGAATCATGATTTAAACATCTAAGCTGAAATAAACTTAAGCATTTCATAAAGCAAATTACAATGTACTTAATTATGGTATAGATACACAAAGGAGCACACTGCAACTATAAAGAATGAAGATCTCTATGAATTGATATGCAGTGATTTCCAGAGTATGCTTTTAAGTGAAAAAAACAAAATGTAGGCAGAGACAAATGTATTTGAAAAATAAATTAATTAATTTAAAAAATGTACAAGAATATGAATATGCTAGAGTATGATACCTCTCATTTAATAAAAAAGGAGATATAAAAAAATACACAGATGGTCATCCATTTGCAGGAGGATAATCAGGGAAAAAAATGTATATTTAGGTCCATTAATGGTTTATTAATGAAATCATTAAAGCCCAATGGATTTAATGGCCTAAAATTTGGGAGCAAAGTTCATACACTCTTAGACAGATATGGATAATTATGCATATCAGTTCCTCGTAGAGTTTGTTGCATAGTTCTTACTGCCTTTATGTTCTAGCTATCTGGGTGTGTACCAATATCCTTTGTTATACACTACCTTTCTAGAAAGAGATATGTAAAAAGAGAAGAAAATTTTTTCATTAAAGAAAAATATGCCCTTATGTCTGATACGTATTCATACGTCTGAGGTAGCCCTTCAACTTTTTCTTAATACAGTAGTAATCATTATTCTACTAGCATAATAAATTACTAAATATGGATAATATGACAGGAGTTTTGTTATTAAAATTGATACTTCATTATCGAGTAGTCAAATCATAGTAATTGAATAGTATTACTTTAATGATCTATTCTTTTAAAGTTCCATCTAAAAATAACTGGATAAAACAATACAGTAACTTCTCTTGATTTTAGGTGGGCTTGGATTTTACAGGATATCTTGGGGATTGCTTTCTGTCTGAATTTAATTAAAACACTGAAGTTACCCAACTTCAAGGTAAGGTATACTACTCTGCTAGCTAAAATAATTTTTATTTTTAAAACAACTTCTTTAAGCTATAATTAATATATAATAAAATGCACCCATTTTAATTGTGAAGTTTATTGAAATTTTACAAATGTGTAACTTTGTAACCACCATTTCAATCAAGTTAAAGAGCATTTCTCATCTCCTACAAAGCTCTATCATGCCTGTTTGCAATCAGCCCCAGGTAACCACTGCTAGCTAAAATATTTTTAATCATTTACATAATATGCCTAATTCATAAAATTCTTATAGGACTAAATATCAGGAAGAACATTTCTTTGATTCAGTGATTCTTTTTTTTAAAAAGCAAATGGAATAAAGAAAATAAAAGTTTTAATGTGATTTGTAGAATAAAACTACAAATAGTCATAACCATTAATGCTTTCAAAAAAATAGTGTTCAAATGTATGTTCATATGTTTATTTATAACTTGAAAAAGAATCTCTTAATTTAGATACAGGAAGTTTGACCTTTAAATTTGTTTTTCTCAACAGTCCTGTGTGATACTCCTAGGCCTTCTCCTCCTCTACGATGTATTTTTTGTTTTCATAACACCATTCATCACAAAGGTATGATATTTTTGAAATCCATGAGAAACATGCTAAAACATGAGAATCTTAAACCTGCTGTTAGATGGTTGGTTTGGCAGATGTTTAGCCCTGAGTGCATTCTAACTCTCTTAAGAAAATTGCCATTGAAATTGGCCTTTTAATAGGGGATATTTTTAAGCCTTTAAGCCATTCTGCTAAATAAAAAACGTCTCCTGACTTATGTGAATGCAAGAATGTCTATATATATGCTTCCTACCCTTTTTAAAGTAAATGTCCTTATTATTATTAAACAATAAATGTTTGCCATAGGTACTATAGACAGCAAAAATAACGAAAATGTGTCACTGCTACTTTCATTTTTGTATTCCTCCTCTGAGAGGAAGAAAGAGCGCCACTGTGGAAATCCGAAGACCTGCTAAAGTGTAGCTCTGTAACCTTTCACCCTGGACAAGTCAGTAGTTTCCTAATCCATTGTGTGAAGGAGTATTACTAGCATTTCATCCTCCCTCTTCCATCAGTGAGATTCGTTTTGGTTGCAACTGACAGAACCTTCTCCTTTCTGTACTGAGAAAGTCCCATCTAGCCAGGCTATGCGTAGAGGCAGGGATGGGGCTGGCCTCAGGAGGAACTAGACGCAGGGCCACATATGATCCCTTTTTGCTTCTGTTCATTTGGTCATTGTCTCATACTGGTTATTCCCATGAGGTTAGAGTCACAGCACCTGGCAGCTCCTAGGTCATCTATTTGCAGCTGTGCCACTAGCTCCTTAATAAAGTGAAGGTGCACTGCTCAGAACAAGGGAGATGTGTTGGATGAGTGTGGTAGTCTTTCGTAGTGTATGCAGCTTTTCTGCCTGGTCCCTATTCCTGTCTCATAATACATTAATTATTGTTTAATTCATGATCTCACCTATAAGCGGAACCTAACCAACAATGCAAAGATGCAAGGAAAATATGACCAGTAACACTGAAAGGAAAAGAAATCAACAGAGACAAGAGGGAAGGGGGGGGCAGGGAAAGGGAAGGGAAGGGGAAAGTCAAGGAACATATAGCAAGGACTCATGGACAAAACCAAAGGGGAAGAGCTGAGGGAGGGAAGGTGGGAGGGGGCAAGGGAAAGAGGTGGGGGGGAGGCAGAGACAAATGTATTTAAAAAGTAAATAAATTAAAAAAAAAATTATTGTTTAATTCTCCCACTTTCCTCATTTTGAGTCTTACTTTGTACTTTCCTGTCATCTCTTTTATCTTTTGTCACTCTCACATTTAATATTTAATATTATAATCACTACTTTTTTTTCCCATTAGTTCTTTATCCATTCTTTAGTCACAGCCAACTGTGAAATCTCTTTAGAACTCTTTACTTCTGATACTTGCTGCAAAATAATGGCATAAGCCTGTGCCCCATTGGGGAGCTAAAATTGCAACTAGGTAACAAATGTAGTTAACTGCCCCAAATCACAGCTATTCAATCTTTTTCTGTGCCTTGATGATGAGCCATTTGACTCATTGACTTCATCTGCCATAGAACCCTACAAAAGCATAGAACTAATATTACATTATAACAAAATATTAGATAACAAAAACTGTTAACTTATTAAAACATTTTTTAAAGTTCTAACTAATGTTGTCCTAGCTTGTATCAGTTTATATCGATTCAATAAAATGTTTCTGTAAGTTACTCCGTCAGAGGTCTCATAATGAAAGTAAAGCGTTCTCTCTACAAAGCAATTGTCATAGGTCAACAGATCATGATGGTGTATGACACATATAGTTTACAGGAGCTATAGCTATACACTATAACTAAATTGTTGTTTTAAAATAATTTTTCCATTCTGTTTTAACACTAGATTCACTTTTTAAATATCAAATGTATCTGCCAGCAAATGATTTCCAATCCCTACACATAAAATTTTTAAAATTTTAAAGGTATAGCGTAATAATAAAGATGTCCTTGAGCTGTCTTTCTTCCTTCCGTGCTTAGGGAATTTTGCATCTTCTTTTTATTCCCTCTTAGTTCCTAGGGACTAGGAATGTGACTTCTAGGAATCTGATCAGGCAGAAAAAAGTGAGGTGCTCTTTGCTCTGTTCAATGTTATAGATTTATTTTAACACTTTCTCAATCTGGTTTGTTTTTATTGAAAGTATAGACCTTACTTTTAGTAGGTTACTCAAAATGAAAAGCAGATATGTAATTTCTGAATTTTGTGGCTCTCACTGAAGATTTCAGGGTTTAAATATTAGACATCCTAGTCCTGGCTGTCATGGCTCAGTTGGTTGGGCATCATCCTGCAACCCAAAAAGTCACTGGTTCAACTCTGTGTCGGGGCACTTGTAGAAGGCAATCAGTTGGCCTCACATCAGTGTTTCTCTCCCTCTCTATCCCCCTCCCTTCCTTCTGTCTAAAATAAAATTTAGAAAAACACTGGGCATTCTAAACATGTTCTTGACCATGATATTAGTAAACTTTTCAAGTTGGCAGGACTAATGACTATAAGTAGAGAAAGTAAGAGCCTGTCTTCATTTTTATTTCACCCACTATGGTTTTTGGTGTAGTATTTTGCGAATAATAGTTATTCAGATGCCTTTGAATGTATGAGAGAATATCAGTGATGGTCTTTAGTTAAATGTTTTAAATAACAATTAGAAAACAAACTAAACTCTTTATCTGAAAATTGAATCACAGGATGGGAGTCCTCTGTAAGGAACTGTATTCAATATTAGTTTATTTTTCTAAACTTCTGTAACTTAACCCGTCAGTAACCTGAAGCTTAACATGAAAAGATTTCTGTAGCCAGGGATTTTATCCTTCTTTCTACTTAGCTCAGGTATCAGTGAAGTCCTCTTAAAAACACTCCAGTGATTTCTCTTATGCACCCCACCCACATGTAAAATATTACAGTTAGTAAATCAAATTTTCCTAAAATTCAGCATTTATTTATCTCCCCACTACCTGTTTTGGTGCTATATTTATCATGATGTGAAGCTTGCTACCTCAAAATATTTCCCCTCTCCACAACAAACTTGGCTGTCAGGAAAGAACTTTTTAGTGAACTCCTCACAGCCTGCATAAAAAGGCCCGAGCCAGACACAAGGGAGGAAATTCATCTAAGGTTAATGTTTTGATTGGGACAGAACAGCAGGCACGGCTGACATTGGACAGGAGTTAGGCTATAGAAGCTTCTCAAGTTCCTTAGGGCTGGGTCTCCTCAAGTTTGACTTCATTGTTTTGTTATTGTGGTGAGTAGCCAGGGGTCAGATGTATATTTATTCAAATAAAGTTACCAGTATATATTACAAATCTAAATATTAAAAAAATAGTATATCTCATGTTCCTATTAATTTTTATTGCTAAAAATGACTAAGGACACAGAGTATATGACATAACCAAAAACACAAAAATGTGTAGCCCATTAGAAGTGCTAGATATTGTCAATACAAGTCAGTGTTCAAAGCTTCACTTGAATAAGCTGTGTATGGTTTATCTGTCAGTTTCTGAAAATTGCTGAGTTCTTATAAAGTGGAACAGTGTGCTAGGTGGATTTTGTTTTAGAGAACTCCAATTTTTGCTGTCTACACAGATTGTTTTAGGAAAAAAGTAGTTCATGGTGCATATTTTTCAGTTTATAGTAGGCCACAAGCCATGGGACCAAATCATTCTTAAATTTGGGCAGATTGTTCTCTTTAAATGATTGGACAATTTCTTTCATCTTCCTCCTCAATTTTAGAACGGCGAGAGTATCATGGTTGAACTTGCAGCTGGACCTTTTGGAAATAATGAAAAGGTAGCGATGGCAATTAAACAGAAATGGCTGCCAGTGTATGTATGTGTGTCCAGTTAATTATTTGCCTTACTGTGTAATTCATTGGTCATGTAGTGCACGTTAAGGTATTGTAAAACTTTATTTCTCACAAAATATAGCCCTTTTCTTAGTTATTCTAAATTATTAAATACCTATTGACTTGGGTTTCATCCTAGAATGATGGAAACTTGGTGGAAGCCACTGCTCAACCCTCAGCTCCCCATGAGAAAGTAAGGACTGTATTTCAGATATGTTCATTGGACTTTAAATTATACCCTCTGAGACAAGATTCTTCTTTGGGGAAAAAAATCCAGATTGCACCCCCAAAAAAAATCTGTTTCAAGGCCTGAGTCCTATTTTTGCTAAAAAGGGAAAAAAGGTTAGATATGGGGATACTGGAATTAATAGTTACCCCTACATGTGTTTTATTTTTCCAAAACTGCATATCTATTTCTTTCAAGCTTTCTGTATATTCAGAGTATATATGTGTTTAGTTTATGTTCTCTAATTCCATGTTCTTCGAATGTCAATTTTAAAACGTTAAAACAATTATTCTAATATTAATCCTTCCCTTTCTAAAAGATATGTGTAAAGATTCCAATGATGTTTATTGGTGACCCCCCTTTTTTTTTTTTTAAATATTTACAGTTACCAGTAGTCATCAAAGTACCAAAGCTGGCCTATTTTTCAGTAATGAGTGTATGCCTCATGCCAGTTTCCATATTGGGTTTTGGAGACATTATTGTACCAGGTAAGCAACTGTTTGTAACAATTTCAGTAAAAATATACTCATCATTTCAATTTGTCAATTGTGTAGTATCTGTTAAAAGTTACCTACTCTGTATGAAGTATTTCTGGCTATTGCTAGAGCTGGGATTAGTGACAAAGAAAGGAAAAAGCTTTTTGAGTATTTGAAGACAAAGCTCAATTTGTTACAACCAAAGTATATCTTCCCTGGCTCAAATATGTCTTAGAGGAAGCAATTAGGATCAGTTTGACCTTCTTCCTTAAGAAAATATAATATATATCAAACCCCTTTTAAAAGTTGAATTTAATAATAAAATGTATTACAATTTCTTGTTACTTCTACTTTAAAATGATAATTATGTTTTAAGGGAAGTGATTTAGAGGAGAAACATCGTAAGCACTACCTGATAGAGCACTATAACACAAAACAATACAGTGGGTGGTAAAGTCCATCAGCTTCTCCTAACATGTCTTCTATGACAGTTATTGTAGTTCTGCATTATTCTCCTCACTGGGCTACCTGTAGATTAAACTTAACCCTAGCCCATTAATAATATAGTTTATAAGTAATAAGTATTTCTCAATCTGCTGACACTTTGTCCTTCCTCGCTTACTGTCTCCCTGGGTGCATTACCTGCCTGTGGATGGGTAAAGAGTGCTGGCTGCTTTGAAGAAGAGAAAAAGAAAAAACCCTTTCATTTACATATTTAAAGCCAGGTAGAGAGAAAATTTAACAGTGTTGCCTTTTGAGTCCATGTTGCAAAGTCCACAAAGTCCAGCTTAGCAATGGTCTTAGTTCAGTGAGTCTCCATTCACATAACTGATAAAGTAGGGAGAGCATTTTATTGAGTAATCTTAAGGTTTCTTAAACACCTTTAAATTTATCCACAGTTTTACCAGTTTCACACTAAATGCTGTATAAAATCTTGTATATGGCACTTAGCACTGAATTGGGGGGAAATATATAAACATTACATTCTTGAAGTAAATGTCAAAAGGTCTCAAACAAATATTTCTCCAGAGAGCAAAGTTTTTGACTATACATGACTTAATTCTAAAAGCTAAATTCTAATTTGGGGAGAGGGAGTGACATTTTTTTTAAACACATAGAAATGTGATTAACTGAAAATATAGTAAAAATGACACAGAACTTATCAAGGAATTTATATGATTAGTTTTGTAGGGACCAAAACTGCTGATAAAAATGCAAAATTAATTAATTCAAACGACCAATAAAACTAGTAAAATTATTTTATGATACTTAAATATTTAAATATCATTCTGACTGTTTCATAATAATGTTTAATTAGTAAATATAATCTAAAACTTCTTTTTTGGAGAGGCCAACAAACTTTTTAAAAGAAGTAGGTAATAAAATGGGTTATTTTTGCATACTTGAATTTTTGCAAATGAGAGCTTATATTTAATTTCTATTTGAACTCTTTGTGTTAAAACTCCAAATCATTTTATTCTACAAAGAACAGAGACTTTAATCACAATTTGAAATTGCCTTCCTGATGTTCTTTTAATACATTTTTTTAAATGCTACATTTAAAAATTTTCCTTAACACCATACATTAAATGGATCTCACAGACATACAGAACATTACCACCAATAACAGCAGAACACGTAATACTTACATCTCAAGCGTACATGGAAAATTTTCTAGGATATATGTTAGTATGTTAGACCATACAACAAATCCTACCAAATTTAAGAAGAATTGAAATCATGCCAAAAATATTTCCTGATCCTAATGGTGTGAAACTGGAAATCAATAAAAATAACGAATATTCATAAATACATGGAAATTAAACAGTATACTCCAAAACAACCAATGGATCAAAGGGTAATTAAAAAGTGTCTTGAGACAAGCAGAGAACCACAGCATTCCAAAACTTACAGGATTCTATAAAAACAGTTCTAGGAGGGAAGTTTATAGTGATAAGCACTTACATCAAGAAAATAGAGAAATCACAGATGAATGGGCTAACAGTACACATAAAGGAACTAGAAAAAGAACAAAAGTTAACAGAAGGCAGGAAATAATAAAGATTAGCACAGAAATAAATCAAAGAGAACATAAAAACAATAGAGAAATTTGCAAGGGTTGGTTCTTTAAAAAGATGAAATCGACAAACCATTAGCTCAACTAACCAATAAAAAAAAGACAGGACCCAAATCAATAACATTATAAATAAAAGAGGAGACATTACAACTAATACTACAGAAATATAAGAAATTTTCTTCATAATATGGAATAGTAAGCAGCTAATAGAAATCATGTTGTTAAAGACCATTTAATGGCTCAAAAAAATGTTTAATATATGGCATTAAGTTAAAAAATTAGTGTATAGAATTTTGTCCAAAATTTGAGGTACTTTAATGGTCTCATGATGCAAAAAATGAAGGTTAAATACAGTACAACATGTACTATTGCCATAGTTAGTTGTTGTGGTTTTAAGAAGATAACAAGGAATGTTTTTTCTTTTAAGGCCTGTTGATTGCATACTGTAGAAGATTTGATGAGCAGACTGGTTCTTCTTCTTCTATATACTATGTCTCCTCCACAATTGGTAAATTTTTAGTTTTTTCTTTTTATTATGTTGAATTGCATTATCTGTAGGAAAAGGTAGGGGTCTAAAACTAAGGAGCTCTGAATTCTAATTCTTTGCCATTAACTAAGAAGACAATACTTTTCCATCAGAAAGGAATAATTATACTTTACTACCTACATCACAAAGTTTTTGTAGTTTAAAAAGGAAATTATATGTGAAAGAAAAACATTAGACTTCTGGCCAAGATGGAGGCATACGTAGATACACTTTGCCTGCTCACACAACCAGAAGAAGGACAACAACAAATTTAAAAGCAAAGAATAACCAGAAGTGCCAGAAAATCAAACTATATGGAAGTCTGACACCCAAGGAGTTAAAGAAGAAACATTCATCCAGACTAGTAGGAGGGGCGGAGACGGGCAACTAGGGTAGAGAGGACATGTGGCAAGGTTACAGCTGGAGGACTGGGTGCTCGAGACACTGGCTGGCAGTCCCATGTTTGGGTGCGGATAAACTGGGGAGCGAGACAGACCATACAACCCACGGTTACAGCATGAGGAAATAAAGCCCCAAAACCTCTGGCTGTAAAAATCTGTGGGGGTTGCGGCGGTGGTAGAAACTCCCAGTCTCACATAAGAGTTACTTCGGGAGACCCACAGTGACCTAGAACATACAAAAACATGCCCACCCAGAATCAGCACCAGAAGGGCCCAGTTTGCTTGTGGGTAGTGGGGGAAGTGACCGAAAGCAAGGGCTGAGTAAGCGGCATTGTTCTCTCTCTGACCCCTGCCCCACACACAGCACCACAACACAGCATTCTGGGTTGCTTCTCCCTGGCGAATGCCTAAGGCTCTGCCCCTACAACGTAACAGGGGTACTGAGACAAAAAAAACCATATGGCCCAAATGAAAGAACAAATCAAAGCTCCAAAAATAGAACTAAGCCACAATGAGGTAGCCAACCTATCAGATGCAGAGTTCAAAACATAGGAAGTGCACTGAAATGGTTGAGTATGGTTGCAAAATAGAGGAAGAAGTGAAGGCTAGGCAAAGTGAAATAAAGAAAAATATACAGGTAACCAATAGTGGAGGGAAGGAAACTGGGACTCACATCAACAATTGGGAGCAGAAGGAAAAGATAAACATTCAACCAGAGCAGAATGAAGAAACAAGAATTCAAAAAAATGGGGAGAGGCTTAGGAACCTCTGGGACAATTTTAAATGTTCCAGCATCCGAATCGGGGGTGCCAGAAACAGAAGAGGAAGAGCAAGAAATTGAAAGCGTATTTGAAAAAATAAGGAAGGAGAACTTCCCCAATCTGGCCAAGGAAATAGACTTCAGGAAGCACAGAGAGTCCCAGAGAAGTTGAACCTAAGAAAGCACACACCAAGGCACATCATAATTAAGTTACCCAAGATTAAAGATAAGGAGAGAAAAAAGCAGCAAGAGAAAAGGACACAGTTACCTGCGAAGGAGTTCCCATAAGACTATCAGCTGATTTCTCAAAACCTTGCAGACAAGAAGGGGCTGGAAAGAAGTATTCAAAGTCATGAAAGAGAAGGACCTGCATGCAAGATTACTCTATCCAGCAAAGCTATCATTTAGAATGGAAGGGCAGATAAGTGCTTCCCAGATTAGGTAAAAGTTAAAGGAGTTCATCATCACCAAGCCTTTATTATATGAAATGTTAAAAGGGATTTACCTAAGAAAAAGAAGATGATCAAGACTCTGAACAGTAAAATGATGACAAACTCACAACTATCAACAACTGAACCTAAAAAAACAAACTAAGCAAACAACTAGAACAGGAACAGAATCACAAAAGTGGAGATCCCATGGATGGTTATCCGTGTGGGGCTGGGGAATGGGGGAAAAGGTACAGGGAATAAGAGGCATAAATGGTAGGCACAAAATAAACGGGGGCAGGTTAAGAAAAGTATAGGAAATGGAGAAGCCAAAGAACTTACATGTACAACCCATGGACGTGAACTACAGTGGGAGGGTGCTGGAGGGAAGGGGGGGTGGCAGGGTGGAGGGGGAGAAAGGGGAGGAAAACAATGGGACAACTGTAATAGCATAATCAATAAAATATTTTTTTTTAAAGAAAAACATTAGGTTCTATATATAAACTGCTTGTTAGAGCACTAGCATACAAATAGTCAATAAATTGTATAATGTTAGATTTTTAAAAATTACTGCATGAGAAAAGAAAATTTGGCTATACCTAACAAAATATAAAATGCCTGGTAGTTTTGCTTTGTTAATTCCATTTGATGTATTCTCCTCAAAAGAAATACGCATACATAAAAAAATACTGCATGGATAACTATATATAAATGAATTTATGGCACAATAACATCTCACCTAGGACAGCAGAGGTAGTTGTTATTTATTCCTCTGTTTGTGTTATTGATAACAGACAAGAACAGGAAGGAAGCCAATAAAGAGTACTTCGGAACATATCAAATAGATATCTCAAAGTTCATACACCAAATTTCTTTTAGGTAAATAACCCTCACCAGAGCAATTTAGATACTGCTCTAGGAAAGTTTTCAATTCCACAGTAGAACTAAATCTAGTAAATTAAAAGTATAGGTTAAGAGTAGAGTGGTGCTAAAAATAGGTACCCTGACAATAGGAAAGAATAGCTAAGTGAATGAAGAGATGAAAAAAGAGAAGCGATCTGAATCCATTCTGTATTTACTCTCTAAGGGCATTAAGAGTCTAGCAGCAGTTAGTGTGGATCATTCGAAGAATACTCAGTGAAAAAGCTTATAATAAGACTGTCTGTCAGTTCTACTGTGTCGCTTTGGACAACGCACTTGACTTTCCTGGTTGTCCATTGCCTCATCTGTAAAATGTTAGACTAAATCGTTCATAAGGAGACCATGAGTCATTAAGAAAAGATCAAGTGATATTTGGTGTGCTTTTGTTGAAGAAGTCCACAAAATATATAATCAATATTAGGAAGATTTTTCAAGGTAACCATTAGTACCTACAGGTACGCATTTTTTGTTACCTAAAATGTGGAACAACTCAAAATCCTAATGGGGACCGATACATGAGACTTTCTTGAACTATTATCTTTATCAATAGTTGATGACTAGGATAATCATAATTGAAATACTAACCAGTTTCCAAATTCTACAAAACCTCTGTAGGATGTCTTTCCTAATTACTGTCTAGGAAAATAATGAAATTATGGAAAGAGTCTTGGGTAGAATTGTCCTTAAATACTTGAAAACAAATACTCCAACATATTTTTATTTGGAAACTAGGACTTCAACATATTTTTATACTTGCAGGCCCTTAAGTATCAATAAGTTAACAAAATGGTATTATTGCTCTTGATTAAATGATCATACGGCCTGAGGGCATAACATTCCTTTGGAAACATTCAGAAATGATTGATACTTGGGTTTGTTTTTTTTTGTAGCCTATGCTGTTGGCATGATACTTACGTTTGTTGTTCTGGTCCTGATGAAAAAGGGGCAACCTGCTCTCCTCTATTTAGTACCTTGCACACTTATTACTGCTTCAGTTGTTGCTTGGAGACGTAAAGAAATGAAAAAGTTCTGGAAAGGGAACAGCTATCAGGTATGTGCTTATATTTCAGCTACCAAGTTATCTTACGAAATAATTCACAGGCTGACTGTGGCTAGAAACTGCCTCTATATAGCTCAAAGCTTTTATGTGCCAAAAATTTATCTTGAATCTCTCAGGATGTTCTTCAAGTTTTTTCCAGTGCTGCCCCCTTCCTGTCCACCTGCTGCATCATTGGTTCTCGTCACCACTGCAATCTGATGCCAAAATCCTGGTGACTCAAGATAAAACTGCCAGGAAGGAGTGGGAGGGCATCAGGGAAAAAGCAAAACACATTTAAACATGAATTTTCAAAATCCATGCAGAAGTAGACTTCGTGGAATATAAAATTCTATGTTTACTGAATTTTGAGTCTGACATTAGCTATTTATAGTGAGGGTCCTAAGATTTGCTGGTAAAAGGTATATAACTTCTTCAGCGTCTAAATTAAATTAGGGCACTTGTTTCAGATTTAAATGTATCAAGATCGCCTTGCTGTAAAATTGCAAAATACAGGAAATCTTAATGGCAGACTCTATTATGTTTGAGCTGTTTCTTCATTGAAGTTAAACCCTTTTTTTTTTTTTTTTTTTTTCCTGAATGCTCTTGGTATTCCAGTAAACTTTGTTTGCACTGAAATGAAAGAGGGTTAGGAAACCCTAGCTTTTGAGGTCAGGGTCATGGCACTGATGCCTTCATGAGGCAGTTAGCTCTGCTTTGCTGTATTACAACAAACTGCCGTCCTCTGTCCACCCTCATGCATGAGTGTCAGCGGTCACATGAACAAAATAGAGATACTTTGGGTGGATGGCCGTAATTGTTAGTAGATAAACAGTTCAAAGTTCATATTCATTTTGTAGCTTGTCTGTAGTATTATCTTTAACAAGAGGTGAGTAACACATTCAGTTAGACTACTGTAATTGGGAAAAGCACTGGTCTAGAATTCTTTGGGGCAAGTCTTATAATTTCTCTGAGATTTGGATAAAAATAACAGTATCTGCCCTGCTTACCTCACAATGCCATTGTCTCAACATGCATTTAAACACATGGAATTAGTGTATGTTCACAAGGTTTGTGACTAAGCTAGTGAGATAGCTTGCAACTGTTCCATTACGAGGACTCCCATATAAAGTTTTTTTATAGATTAAAAGAAATAAATGGTGTCCTATGTGACAGACTCTACTACTATACTAGCTTTTGAAGGCCGCATCCCAAAAAGTGCTTTGTCTTCATTTAAAAAAATAGTTTTATATTTCTCCATTTAGCAAATGTTTATAGAGCAGTTCTATGACCCAGGTACTATTTTAGAAGCTGGTGATAAAATATGAACAAGTTAGAAACAGATCTGGACTCATGGCCTCTTAAAAGTTAGAATGTAGCGGGGGATGCGCATAGAGTCACTACCAGTAAAGTGTGACAAATGTACTAGTGATGGCCGATGGCCATGAAAGCTAGAGCAGGGACACCCAGTGCTTGTGGATTCAGGAGAGTCAAGGTGATTTGGGGAAGGCTTTTTAAAGAATGTTAAACTCCTGTTGAGACTTGAATTGAGCCATGTGTTCCACATCGAGGGAACCATGTCTTCAAAGGCGAGAGGGAAGAGCATGGCGCCTTCTAGGAACTGAATGAGGTTAGGGTGACGGGAGTGTTGAGGAGGCATAGGGGAGCTGCGGGAAGTGAGAGCTGCGGGAAGTGGAGGGGGCAAGGGTAAGGGCCTGCCGGGTCTTGTAAGCCATGTTAAAGAGTGTGGATTCTATCCTAAAAACAGTAGGGACCCTTTAAAGGTTTTAAGAAATTCAGAAGATAGATTAATGGAGGGAGCAAAACTTGAGGCAGCTATTACAATGAGAAGGAATGGTAGCCAGAATTAGGAAGTCAATGAGATCGAGAGAGGTGGATAAGGTCAAGGGAAATTAAGAGGCATGATTAATGGGATGTGGCAATAGATCAATGTAAGAGGGAGGAGAAGGAGGTGGAGTCCAAGGTTTCTGGCTTGAGTAACCAAGTAGATGGATGGTGATATTATTCACTGAGATAAAGGGGCGGGGGGCAACAAATCTAAGGAAGGATATGATAAGTTCAGTGTTGGGTAAGTTAGGTGTTGGCTATGAATTCAATTTTGAGCATTCCGAAGAACTTATAAGACCACCAGGAAGAGAGAAATAATAGGTAGTTGAATAAATGTTCCCTGATGTTCAAGAGACAGAACTAGCTAGAGACAGAAATTTGGGAGTGACATTAGCATACTCAATGGGTGAGCGAGAACATTAGAGGGAGAAGAAAAGACTCAGGAAGAATTGTGAGCAAGAGGTATCTATAATTAGGGCACCCGATTAACTGATTATAACATAAGGACAAGGAAGGTGAGCGGCATGGGGAAATTTTGTTTGGGTTAGCATTAAATCCTGGGTTAGAATTTAAATGTGGGGCTGTTAGAGCACATGTGATATCTTATAGAATTAAATATATTTTTAGTTAATTTTATCACTGGTATGTTACTTTTATTTATAAAATTTTCCCTTTCCCCTTAATACAGGGTGGGGCAAAAATAGGTTTACAGCTGTGAGTATGCAAAACACAGTTCATTCTTGTATTCTTGTTTATTAATCATTGCGTTATATTCCATTTGAACAACCGTAAATATACTTTTGCCCCACTCTGTGATTCTGTGCAGTTTTTACAGTATTTTATTATAAAAATATGTGCTTCTTATAGAAAAATTTGAACATGTAGAAAAGTAAAGAAAATTAAGTTCACCCATAAATCCCATCCCCTAGAGATGGCCACTGTTAAGATTTAAGTGAGTTTCCTTATACGCTTTCCTTGATAAACGGATAGGTGATTGGATGATACCATACTCTAAAAAGTTCTCTATCTTGTTCCTCTATTGCATGTTAGTGTTATTTCATTTTAAATTCCGTGTAAAAATCATTTTAATGGCTGTACCTATGCATATACCATACTTTATTTTACCATTTCCTTTTGGCACAGTAACTTCTCTTTGGCGGGTTGTCCAGAAAATAAAAATGTGGGCAAAACTGATGTGAAAGGACATCCATTAGAGTGCTCCTGGTCATCTTTTTTCGGCTTTAATGACTTGCAGGTTAATATTATTAGCAGTTAATGAACTACAATTTTTACATAGACCCTGACCCTGCTTTTACTTTATTTTTCTTTTTGTTCTTTAATTTCAAAGTAATGCATGTTTGCATTTTTTAAACAAGCGATCCAAAAATGTCTAAAGTAAACATGGAAGGCCCTTTTCTAACGCTTCCACCCCTGTACCTACCCTGAAGGGGCAGCTACTGCAGTTTATGTGGAGCTTCCAGATCTTTTTATGCCAACTCACACTATAAATAGGTGAATGTTTAGAGATGTTGTATGCAAAGATGTAATAACATTGTGTCTCTTTGGAAATATTCTACAGCTCATTTTTTCTTGGGTTTATTGTAGCACCTTTCCTTGTTTCTCTCTCTATGATATTTATTGAGGAGAAAGGGGATGGTAGGTAAGGAAAGAATTCAACCAACAGATGCAGTTATATTCCCTGAACAAATGCTCTGCCCTGACCATCTTGAGTTTAATTCTTTTTTTTTTTTTTTAAGATTTTATTACTTTCTAGAAAGAAGAGTAGGGAGGGAGAAAGAAAAGGAGAGAAACATCAGTGTGCAAGAGATACAACAATAAGTTGCCTCTCACAAGCCCCCAGCCGGGGGCCCGGCCCACAACCCAGGCATGTTCCCTAGCCAGAATTGAACCAGCGACGTTTTGGTTCTTAGGCTAGTGCTCAATCCGCTGAGGCACACCAGCCAGGGCTGAGTTTCATTCTTAAAAATTATGATCCTGAAAAAAAGTATGATTTTGCTTCACAGCAGCTGCCCATAAAGAGAAAGATCACTGCAGCTGGACGCAAAGCAGTAGTAAATGCCCCTGAAGGACAGACACCAGGACTCTGACCACATAACACAGTAGCTAAATAAAGCAATTAATTGTCAGAAAATCCATTAAAAAGTGTCTAAAAACATAGGACAACTTTGGTTACACACTTCTCACTTTCCTAGTGTGGTGTCATAATTTTATTAGGTGAAGACATTCAGAATATAAAATAACATTGTAATAAAAAGAGTGGAGTTTGCTGCCAATCTGACTGCGTTGTAACTCTTATTTTGTTAATTATTAGCCATGTGACCTTAGGCAAGTTACTTAGCTTCTTAGTGTCTCAGTTTCCTCCAATGTAAAATGGGATACTAATCATTCTACTTAAGAGGATTATTGTAATATATGCAGCATGCTTAGAATAGTGCCTGGTGCAACATAAGCATGGTAAATGTATTTGCTATTATTATTTGTAAAAATTGGGTTTTTTCTTGTTTTGGTTTATTTGTTGGTTTGGCTGTTATTTTTCAGGTCATTTACTAGATTTATGTTTTCCTAGTTTGAGTATTAAAACTTTGGGTATTAAAAGGATTTGATAGCTATCAAAGCCTCAGAGGGGGAAAAATCTGTTAAATGCTGTCATTTTCCCACTGTGCACTAGATTTTTTAAATATGAAGAATGGATATTTGCTAAAATTTTAATGAACCTAGTGGCAGAATACTATATAAACTGCTGCCAAGAGACAGTCTATCTTTCTAGAAAACTAGCATTTTTGAAAGTTACAGAATGGAATGCCTTCACAAAATTATTCCCCAGTTAAGGTTTCTGAGAAAAGAAAATCTCTCATTGCTTTTGTCTAACATTTAAAGTCAAAATTAATTTAGCTTGAATGTTGTCATTTGCGGTATATTATAAGCTAAATATAGACAATATATCACAGGCTTTGGCATCAGTTCTGGCAAATTACTAAATCTCTTTAAATTGTCTCCTTGTCCATAAAATGAGGTTGGATCTACAGGTAGATAGGAGAATGTGTAATCCATGGTGGTGAGTTAGCCCAAGACTTGGTGAGGCTGCTGGATATTGAAATCAGATAAGGTTAGGCAGCAGCTTGGAGAGTAGAACAAGGAACCTCTTATTAGCCTGGTAAAACGGGGAGGAGGCTGGGTATGGACCCAGTGTGGGACAGAGCGAGGGCCAGCCCTGGAGACCACCCTCAGGCAGTTACTCGCTCATCTCTTCAGCCAGCAGAGTGATAATAATCCTTTCCTTTCTCTCCCCCTGCTTTCATTATCTTTATAGCATGGCCAGTTTCTGTTTCCAAAATATCCCTTACATAACTCCCAACTCAAAATCTGCATTCTCCAAGCAGATATCATAAGTTTTCCAGTTGAAAATAAGTTTACCTTTCCCCATATTTTTTTTAGACTTTGTACTTTAAACACTTACTAACATTTGCCTTGTAGTGTAGATATTTATATGCCTCCCTCATTATGTTATTAGCGGCCTACGTGTTAGGAACCCGCAGTGCTGACAACAGTGTTTTATACACTGTAAACCCTCAGTTAGTGTTATTGAAATTCTTCATGCAAAACAACTGTAATATTAGTCCTTAATCCACTGACCTTTAGTCACGTGTGTGTCTACAAGCTTCCTGATTGTTCTTCAGCAGTCCTCATACCTCATACAATTACCAAAATTGTTATGTTATTGTAATAGGCACTTTTAAAACATTAAACTAGACTTACATGTCTACAATCTTTATATATAGTCATTTTTTGCAAGTGCCAAAAGTGTTTGCTACTGTTTTGAAATAATCGAATATAAAATATGTAATATAAAATAAAGTCAGAATCAAAGGTGCTGCCATGTGTATGTGTGCTGTTCATCATGTGGTTCACTCTAATAAGGCCTGATGTTAGAGTGGGAGTATAAGGGGCAAAAAGCAGGACTTCCCACTGGAGATTTCCAGACGTCATGGGTTGCCCGGGTGGCCTTTTTATGTTGTTTTCAAAGGTCAAATTGCATCTTGTTTATTGCTGAAACTTAAGACAGTTCATAGAAATACAATCCTTTAGCATTTTATGGATTCTTTTAGCTCATTCCATGATTTTCTCTGATCAAAAGAAGTAACCTTTCCATAGGATTTCACTAAAATAATGCTAATTTGGAAATCTTTATTGTATATTTTTCTCTATAGCTTGAAGCTATTTAACTCTATGTTTTCTATGAACTATTTTTCTAGAATCCTTCCAGAATACAGTGTTTGGTTCCATTTATTTAATTTTACTCAAAGTCTTAGTTCTAATTAGTGTAAATAAAAGTGTATGTTGTCTAGAAAGAAAAATCAAGCCATGGCATAATTACTTAGGTACGTAAAACAGTTAAGAGAAATCATCATTTTAGGGGATTTTTGTTTCTTTCTAATCCTAAATCAGTGAAGTTAGACTATGCAGAAACCTGCAATGGGTGGTTTTACCCTGGGTGGAAAGTAAGTTTTCAGTTTATTGATATTCCATGAACAATGGGTTTGTCTCTGTTAAATGTCACTGGTGCTTCTAATTATTTTTAGAAGTCACAAGCTGTGACTGACAAGTCGGAGTAGAGACACTTAGAACAACCCCACTTTAGTATCAACAACTCTCCAGTTACCCCATTTTAATGAGTGTTTTATTAGACTTTCTGGAGATTGGTTCAATTATAAATAAGCAGAGCTATCAGTAAATCACAGGTTTCTATATTGTTTTTATTGAAAAATCAGTAAAATAAATACAGAGTAGAGATGTTTACTTCTCAGTAAGTTGATTTTGAAAGCCCCCCCGCCCCCGCCCCCCCCCCCCGCCCACGCACACGCTCCAGGGCATGCTTATTTATTTTAGAGAGGGAAAGGAAGGGAGAGAAACATCAATTGACTTTCAGAGTGCGCCCAAACTGGGGACCGAACCTGCAACCCAGGCATGTGCCTTGACCGGGAATTGAACTCTCAACCTTTTGGTTGTAGGATGATGCTCCAGCCAACTGAGCCACACCAGCCAGGGCTGAAAGTGTTTTGTTAACTAATATATTTCTATGCTTAGGGATTTGATTAAAGTGCCAGGGCCCTGGCCACAGTAAGAAAGAAGAAGCATGTTCTAAGTTAGAGTTTATAGGCTCTTATTTCATTAGATTACAGTTGCCAAAGTAAACAGTTCTTGATGAAGAAAGAGGGCTTCCCCACCATCCATTTTGCTGAGGCTGCTCTGACCTGTTTCACCCAGAGCTTCTAAATTGCTGTGAGAAAGGAGGGCTAAATATTTCTTACATGCTTCTCCTTTCCCTCCTTTATTTAAATTGTGACTAAAATCAGCTCTTCAACAACTTCATCTTATATTTCATGTGGTGAAATGCTTAACAAATATGCCACCTGTCTTTGGCTTTTTTTCCTCCTAGAAGTGCTACAAACATGTAACTACCCTCATCTAGGGGATATATTTAGCAAATAAAGGTCCTCAAAACTGATTGTTTGGGGACTTGCGATGACTCATAGAGTATCAGCAGGTTTGGGTTGTTTAAGCTGTCTCCGTTACTGGAGACAGTTGTCAGCTGAAAGACTCGGTTCTGGTTTATTCTTGTCTAGCAAGTGCTGAGACCGCGTTTGGAGAGTATTACTCTCTCTCTGCTTCCACTTCTAAAAAAACACTTTTTGAATCAGTTTACAAAAATAGGAACATTTAACTTGCTGGTCTTCTCTTCTAATTCTTGACAAGAGGCAAAAAAGTGCATCACAATACTGATATTTAATCATTTATCTAAAAATCTTTGACAATATTAACAAAGACATTAAGTACTTTTTTCTATTTTTAAGTAATTTTATCTGAAGAACAGGGAAAAACACTGAAAACATTTAAGCACTATCTTCATTCCCAAATATAGAAAGCTTTTCATGGGAATATGGGCAGAGCTGAAGTGATCGTTTGAAAAAAGTTTAACGGGTGGTTCCTCTAAAATTAGTCTAAAGCATATGTATTCTTGATTTTCTTTTCAGATATCATTTGACCATTGAGTACCTTCAAGTTACTTGTTTGTAGTAGAAATTTTTTGTCATACAGTGTTTCCAAAATTTTACATATTTTAAAATTGTCTTAAGGTCCTTTCAAGGTGTCATCCAGGTTACACTGTTGCCGAGCCAGCAGGTATTCTCACAGAAAGATGGGGGGTCCCTCTTAGTTTTGCCACTTCCAGGAAAGGACACTGCCTGCAACAGTGACCTGGAATAAGCATCAAGAGTATCTTCCTTCCGTGCTGGAGCTCCCACTGCCACGACAGACAGTATTCATATAGGGAGATGGAAATAGTGGAAGATCCAGAGAACACACTTACCACATTGACCCTGAGTCCCATGATTAGGCTTTGTGAAAGGTCCAGGATCACTTTGACCGTGTCCTCAAGAGCGTGGATGTTGAACCAGTACATGATCCAAAGGGAGTGCTCAGTTCCATAGAGCACTCAGTGTCATTTTTAAAATTTGAGATTCCTTTTGCCAAATTAGTGAATATTGAGGGCAAGTTGAGAATTTGTATTTTCTGACGTCTCTTCTTATGCCTAGATGATGGACCACCCAGACTATGCAACAAATGAAGAAAACCCCGTGACTGCTGGTGAACAGATTCTCCCGCAATAATATGTGGACCTGCCATATGTGTCAGCTGATTTTCTGCAAATACAGTTTGACTTTTTAAATTGACTTTTGAATTGACAATCTGAAAGAATCTTCAACGATATAGTTGCAAATATACCTTTTTAAGAACCGGTACTGACAATTGTATCATAAGTAATTAAAATACATTTGCTTTGAACTATGTTAAAGTTGTGCCTTCACATTAAATAAAAGAATATGGTCTGTATAACTTTCAAAATGTATTATTATACAGTATATTTTTCTAAAAAAAAAAGTATTGATCCACCCCTGTATTTTTCTTACTGAAATCAATTTCTTTTCAACTCTAATGATAGATAAAAGTATGTCTGTCAAAGTGAGTTTCTGAACCGATTTTACTGAAAAGAATGATGCAAATTTTATCCTCTATAGAAATAATTATTTAAGATTATGCAAGAAGGCAGTTCAACAATGAAATTTTGGACTTTGATCACTGCAAAGTTTAGAAAAATATAATTTGGGAATATATATAAGTGCATATTTTTATAGTGTAAGTTCGAAAAAATTCCAGTTCTTTTTTAAACTTGGGAACCTAAATTGCTTCAGATTGCCATGTATTATATTAGAATATTTTTCCAGGTATAGAGAAACATAATATATAGAACTAGCCATTAAAAGAACACAAAAACTGACATCCACAGTTTTCAGTGGTCTGTTGCCTCTTTGAAGGTATAGCTTAAATTTCTATATTAACATTCAATTTCACTATAGTATTTCTGATCTCTGAAGTTTGGTTCTGTTGTTTAAGCTTGGTATTTTGCATAAAATTTTATATTAATACATATGACTCATTGTTTGAGTGTAATATCCCTAACAGTCCTCTCGGTCACCATCTTGATTCCTACTCCTTTCTTCAAAGGAAATCACTGTTAACCTTTTAATATTTTGGTGGACAATGGAATGCTAATATACCAAGTGCGCTTCAGAGGAAAGTATTGGAGACAAAAGACAAAAGACTGGGCATTAGTGTCAATTAAATTACATTTACAAGAGTGTGAGTTAATTGTCTTAGCATAAGACACTGGTGTCTCAGTTTTCTCATCTGCAAAATGAATAGGTTAGACCAGCAATTTCAACCTTTTTCATCTCACAATACACATAAACTAATTATTAAAATTCTGTGACACCCCAAAAATATATTTGTTGCCAGTCCGACAAAAAATAGGTATAATTTTGATTCACTCACACCAGATGGCTATTATGTTGGCTATCGTCATTTTTTAATTTGACAAGCTAAGGGAAAAGAGGTCAGTGCCCCCAACTAAATAGTCAGTATTGCATGTTTTAAAAATACTTGTGGCACACCAGTATGCCTCTTGCAGCATACTGGTTGAAAATTGATGGGTTAGACCAATTAGTCACTCTGGTACCTTCTAACTTGAAAAAAAATCTTTCTCATTCTTTGCTAAATCTCAGATATGACCTTCTCCTGGGAGTCAGAGGTCAAATTATCTCTTCATTTTCTTTACTTTCTCTAAGAAATTTCCAAATGACAAGTAACTGCAAAAGCAGCAGAATTTTGCATTCTCTATAAGTAATGTACAGGATATGTGAACAACTGCTTTCATTCTAAGGCCAGTTCAACTGATTAAAAGATAAAGTTATTTATTGCCTTTTAAAATAGATCTGAGCTTTGGTATTTAAAGTAAGTTTAGCATTTGAGAGAGTTAGATGCTTTTGTTTAATTGTTAACTTTTGCTGAGTAAATTGTAGGTGGAAAAGCTTCCCCAACAGCCCTCTTTCCGCTTAATACACTGGATTGTTGGGTAGATGACAAGTAAGTATCTGACAAGTAACAGTTAATCTAAATTTTGTCTCCTTAATATCAAGTTTGAATATTTTCCCAAAGAATCTAATTTATTTGGCAGATTCTTGACAGAACAGATTGCCATTTTAAAGATCCAACTATATTTTCATTTATAATATCAATAAAATGTTTGCCAAAATACAGCTTTTTTAGTAAAAGTATCTGCATTCTCATCCTTGCTTGGTGATATTCAAAAGCCTCAACCACAGTTTATGAAGAAAGTTAAAGAAAATCTTACATCTAGAAATCTGAAATTTTGGTTCTTTGATACACATTCTATTTTATCTAACCATTAGTTACCAAGGAGATAAAACGTTGTTCTAGTTTGCTATTAAAACCTTGTTGATTAAATACAAATAAATAGTGAAATTCCTTAAGTTTCTCCATCCTCAAAGTCAACTTTACATTGTACTTAAGTAATCCTTCTACCAACCCAGCTGAAAATACTTAGAGAAGTTACAATAAAGTACAGAAATATTTTATTTGGGAATCAAAGGAAAGGGAAGTTGAAAACTTGGCTTTAAAAGGCTGTCTCATTTCTTCCTCTCTTGCCTTCCCATCACCAGTAACGTTAAGGAGAAGAGTTGTTTTATTCCTAAATATGCCTTAAAAACAAAAATAAGGTATACTGTATTATTACTTATTGAAAAATGAGTAATTATGAACATTTTTGTGTCTTGTGAAACAGAAATCACTAAATATCTCAAATTTTAATGTGGGTGATATTTTTATTTCAGTTTAGTTCAGCAAAGATAACTAAGAGGTTTGTGAGGAAACACCTTGCTATTCTAATACATTTTCTTCCAGCTTGTATTTCTTTATTAGATTAGCAATAGTTTATTAGTAGAAACTATGATTTACTTCTCTTTTGAAGAAAATGTTAAGCCATCTGCTGCTGGCTTTCATAAAATTTATATGTCTGTAGAGATTTTGGTGAAATGATACATTTTATAGTAAATACTAATGAGCTTCCTAGTTTTCTTTTGCTCTTTCAATTTTTGCCTTAGGTATAAGCAGACATGTTTACATTTGACTAAAAAATATTTCAACTAATTTGTTTAAGCTTGGTCTCTAAAATTTTAGTCTGATCTCAGGCAATGAGATTCAAAAACATAAAGATTACATTTCAGAATGGTGCAATGTACTAGTTTGAAAGGCTATATATTTTCCCATTAAAAAGGAAAAGAGTTGTATTTATTCAAGATGATGACAAATAACAAATTCTACAGTTTAAACAATTTATTTTCAGTGATCTTACCCCAGAGTATAATTCCAAACAGGTTGGGGTAACACAAATAAAATCAAAACACTGAGTATAAATCACATTACACTTCCTGAAAGAAAAATATTTTGGAAATTCAAGAGATCAGAATCAAAGTACTCAACCTTTTGGAATTTGAAATAAACTGTGTAGTACCAGTAATTTGCATTACTGAATTTTCAGAGTAAACAAAATGATTGACAGTAATATACATGCTGTATTGTAGTAAAGACCATATATGTGACCTTGCTTGTTTAAAGTTTCTGTTCTTAAGGACAGCTTTTGTATCTCCAAAAATGATCATTGGGGAAAAAACGATTTCTTAAAATTTTAGAATAGTCTTGTATTAGTGGTAATTAAGGGGCAACAAAAATAAATCAAATACTTAATGTAATCATGTGTTTCCTTAATTAGGCATAAAAAGTGTTGTAAACAACATTTCTTTGGAATATGGGTTTTTAAAATAAAAAATATCCAAAGTTTATCTGGTTGGTTTGCAGGATTTCCCAGGAACAAGTCAATGTAAATTTGGTAGTTTTTGCCTATTTTATACCTTCTGTTGTATTTTGTTTAAATGAGAACCTTTTTAAAAATACATTGATTGAATTTTTACTTCTTATATGATTGGTTTGAGTGTGGAATTCTTTAACCCTTTGATATGTAGTTAGTGTAAATTAATACTTTATAATACTATTAGGCTTTATTTTTTTTATGGAACATGATTTAAAATATAAAAATTTTTGAAGTGTAAATTTAGCAGTGCTTTAAAGCTCTTCAATATGTGCCAATACTGACAAGAAAAAGTTTTTTAATGTATTGAATTCATTATTGTATGCAATAAATTCTATTTTGAAATAATATTGGAACTTGTTTATTTTGAATGGTGAAAAATAATTGAAAATGAACTAAAAGTGTACTGGGTCATGTTCATGTAAGGTACAAATAGTAATAATTACTTTCAAAATTGCGTGGTTATTTATGTCTGGCAAATTGTCCTTAAAACCTAGATTCTGTAAGTGTCATTTATTGGAAATTTATATTGATACGCAATAGCCCTTAATAAATATTTACTGAATTAATGTATAGACTTTTTTTACTGAGAAATGAGCATACCTCTTGTGATGAACATTCCTGGCATTTTTAACTTTGCTGATGTTCCCGCAAATTACTAAGATCCCACTGCCATCATACTTCTTTTTAACTCAGATGGGGTTGGCCCAGATATGTTTCCGTAGAGTGTTTGTCTTGCCACATGTTGAGGAAGTCCTGTTCCCTCCATGCCTGCTGCAGAGGAAGCTTGTGTCATCCAACAGGCCTGGGTAACTAGAAAGATGCATAAGAAACTGGAAAGAGTGGCTGTCTTTAGGGAAAGGCGGGTATGATGGCTACAGCACAGAGGTAAGAAGGAAACCTTTTTCACTGGAAACTCTTGTACTGTTTGCATTTTCTATTATATGCTTCTATTATGATTCAAAATACAAATCATAAAAAGGTATTGAATTATTTTCCTCATAACAGGTAAACATACTAACAGATGGTTAAATAGTAAATTATTTGTATCATTTTCCCACACTTCCTCCTGGAGGGATGTGGTTGAGGAAAGTGGAGAGTTTCCGCATTCTACATGTAAATATTCACTCAGACACCATTTTCAGTGTGTTACCCATTCATGCCCTCAATTGTGACTGGTATCTGCCAGGCCACCTACTCTTTGAAAAGAACAAACCTCCAGTTTTCTGCCAAAGTCAGGGAGGGACAGTTTGTCCAGCAACATGAAGTACAAGAGGAATTTGTGGCTCTTCATGAATGATAGAAAATAACCATTTTAGGGTGATCCAAGATGCTGGCACAGTAGGCAGAAGCTCTACTAACCTCCCAGGACCAAACTGGAATTACAACTAAATTATAGAAAAATCCGGAATAACCAGTTGAATACTATCTGTAGAGGAAGAAGCCTTATTTTTTTTTTTTCAGGCTGTAAAAGGAAATGGATTTTAATAATATTCAAATCTAGCATTTACTATTTTCAACAAATAAACACTGCCCCTCCCCAATAAGTAAAGAGGCCTTGGGATAAAGCAGTCAGGGCGATGGGTTGTGGTCATCCCCTCTTCTGGCCTTCATGGAAACGCCAGGAAAAGGCTCACAATGTCCTCCTTCAGCTCGGAGGGTGGGGGAGAGCTGGTCCAGGGCACCCCAAGTGCCTCGGCCTTGCGTCCATTGCTGAAGACCAGGGCACTCTCGAGCTGGTCTTCCTAGGTGTGTGATCTGGGCTCTGAGGCGGGGGCCAGGCCTTGAGCTGATGATGGCCAGCTCTTCTTGGCCTTCAGCGTTCTGTCGGCCAGTCAGGACTGGCGCTCCAGCTGGCAGGATAGGTTCATGCTATGGCACCTGTGAACCTACCAGGAGCCACACCTCACCTGTTCCTCCAGGTGCCTGCCCAGTAGCAGACCTGGAGGAAAGGACAGATGGAAGAAAACCATATCACCACAGTGAGACTGCTAGGAAGTGTGGAAGCACAAGGGGGATGGCTGGCCTCCCACAGGCAGCGGATGAAGTCATGGAGGTGTATTTCAGCAGCCACGGGGGCTGCTCCTGAGAAGTGTGGGGTCTAAACCCCAAGCTGGGCTCTTCAGCCTAGAGCACCACAACCAGGAAAGGAACCCAAATAACATCCAGCTGTGAAAAGCAGCAGGGCTTCTGTCCGCCATGGAGAAATGGCTTGAGATGCAGAGAGCCTCTTTCAGGGCTGACACACAAAACTTAGTTTGCAGCCACTTACCCTGGGCTGTGGTGGAGGGAGGGCAGAGAAGACTAGAACAACATGAAGAGAATTAAGGATTAGTGGCTCTGGGAAGAGTGCTGAAGGGTCAGTCACCAGGATCCTATACCACAAAGATCATCTTGCTTGGGCAGAGCACTTCCCTCCAGGCAGCAGCAGCCTCCTGGGTGGAAGCAATAGCCCCATCTGGAGAAATCCTTGGCCCACCCTGAGGAGCTTAAGCCAGTTGCTGAGGAGTACTTCTGGAGACACTTTCAGTGATTAAGACTAAAAGAAAGCCTATGTTGCGGGGAGGGGCGGATCTTTTGGAACTTGGAGAATTTAGCTGATCCTCCCCCAGGCCCAGTGCCAGTAAGAGCCAGCCTTGGTGTATACCCTAGTTCTTTCTAGGGTATGCACCAAGCACACACCCAGGCCACAGCAGTAGAAGCCACAAGCTGTGGATCACTGATAGCTCCAAATGATAGGGGAAATCAAGAGTTAAAGATATTTAAGCATAGCTATAGTCAATAGGCTTCAGTGATGAATGCATGTGGAAAGCTGTTATTCTAGGAACTGGAAGCCATGAGGTATGTGACAGGAGGTCGACAAACAGTTCAACCTTTGTGCCATATGAAATCTGTAAGCAATGGAAGATGGTGTCTGACCCATTGTGTTTCAGGGAAGGAACACAGATAAACTGTTGATCAATAGATAGAGAAGCACTAGGGAAATCACTGGTCAACTGAAACTCATATCCAATTACCCTATTTTTCCAAACCCCTTATATACACTTTCTTCTCTTTATAAAATGGTTGGCTTGAGATTAGCTGTTAAGACAGTTCTTGAGGGTACGTAACCCGCCATCTTCTCAGAGCACCAGAATCTGAATAAAGCTCCCATAAAGATTCAATCCTCACCTCTACTTATTGGTTTGGGTAGTGACAGGCAGGACAAATGTCAATTCTTCTGGTTTCACAAACAGGTTGCCCAGTGCCAGTCAAGGCAACATCTGACATAGAACTTCACCAGTCCTATGATCCTCTGTTGCAGATCTACATGACACATAGAAACAAACACAAAGAGGAAGCGGAAATGGGAAGACAAAGAAATAGGCCTCACATGAATGAACAAGAGAATTCTCCAGAAGAAGAGTTAAATAAAATGAGGCAAGCAATTTATCAAATATAGAGTTTATGAGACTGAGATATAAAGTTTAAAGTAATTATTATAAGGATGCTCAACAGCATGAAAGAAAAAGACACAGAAACAATAAAAAAGGACCAATCAGAAATAAATAATGCAATATCTGGCATAATACACTGGAAGAAATAAATGATAGGTTAGATGAAGCAAAGGACTGAATCAGTGATTTGGAGGACAAGGTAGAATAAAATACCTAAGCACAGCAGCAAAAAGAAAAAAGAATTTAAAAACACGAGAGTGTAAGGGATGTGTGGGACAAAATGAAGTGTAACAACATTTGCATCATGGGGATACCAGAAGGAGAAGGGAATGAGTGAAAAATCAAACTATTTGAAGAAATAAAGGTTGAAAACTTCCCTAACCTGATGAAAGAAAAAGACACACAAGTCCAGGAAACACAGAGTTCTAAACAAGATGGAACCAAAGAGACTCACACCAAGACATATCATAATTAAACTGGCAAGGCTTAAAGACAAGGACAGAATCTTAAAAGCCAAAAAGAAAAACAGTTACATACAAGGAAGCTCCCATTAGACTATCATCTGATTTCTCAACAGAAACATTTCAGGCCAGAAGGAATTGGCATGAAATATTCAAGATGAAAAGCAAGGATATACAACCGAGGGTACTTTACCCAGCAAGGCTATATTTAACAGTTAAATGGCTTGCTTTAAGGAAAAGAAAAAAATGAAAAAAACAGAGGAAAATAGTTAAAAGTAAAATGACAATAAATATGTATGTATTTAATAAATCACTTTAAATGTAAATGGCTTAAATCCTCCAAGAAAAAAAAAAGACATAGGGAAGCTGAATGGGTAAGAAAACAAGACCCATATACATGCTGTTTCCAAGAGACCCACCTCAGAGAGAAAGACACACAGACTAAAAAAAAGATATTATGAACAACTACATGCCAACAAACTGGACAACCTGGACAAAATGAATAAATTCCTAGAAACATACAGTCTTCCAAAACTAAACCAGGAAGAATCAGAGAATCTGAATAGACAGATCTCACCTAATGAAATTGAAGCAGTAATCAAAAAACTCCCAACAAACAAAAGCCCTGGACCAAATGTCATCACAGGTGACTTTTACCAAACATTCTAAGAACTCACACCTCTCCTCAAACTACTCCAAAAAAATTCAAGAGGAGCAAAGACTCCCAAGTTCATGTTAGCATTATTCTAATTCCTAAACCAGATAAATACTATAAAACAGAAAATTATAGGCTGATATCCTTGATGAATATAGATGCTAAAATCCTCAAGAAAATATTAGCAAACCGAATACAGCAATGCATCAAAAAGATCATACACCATCATCAAATGGAATTTATTCGGGGATGCAAAATTAGTACAACATTCAAAAATCAATAAATGTGATACACCATATAAACAAAATGAGACGTAAAATCCACATGATCATATCAATAGATTTAGAAAAAGCATTTGATAAAATCTGGCACTTATTTAGGATAAGAACTATCAGTTAGTCATGTACCAGATATAAGATAATACCAAATAATTATTGTTCATTTTTTTACATGTGATAATGGCTTGTCCATTTTTTAAAAACAGAGGTATACTCGTGCACTACTTACTATTGGAATAAATTCTGACATTTTGCTGTTAAGCCTTTTTGTGGAAATGTGAGTATCATTAGAGTGCACTTACACAAACCAAGACGGTGCAGCCTACAACACACCTAGACTCTATGGTGTAGCCTGTTGCTCGTAGGCTACAAGTCTGTCAAACATGTCAATATACAAAACAACATGCGGTTGAATCAAGCACAAGAGAAAATAATGCAATAAAGAGAACCAATAAGCACAAGATGCATGAGGCTAATGCCACCATAACATGGCATAATGTTTTACAGTAAACTTGTTTTTTTTAGAAATAGAATACAATCTAAATAATGACAAAAAGTATAGTACGGTAAATATATAAACCAGCAACATTGTAGTTTTATTATCAAGTATTATGTACTGTACATAATTGTGTGTGCTATAGTTTTATATGGCGGGCAGTGCAGTAAGTGCAGGTTCGTTTACACCAGCATGATCATGAACACCTGAGTA